TGGAGGCCGCGCTGGGCCCGCCCGCTGCGGAGGCTGCAGCAGGAGGAGCGCGCCGGCGGCTGCCGCGGTCTGAAGCCCTCCACACCGAGCCCCCAAACTGGACACTAACCAAGGCTGGAACTGCCTCAAAAGCCACCGAAGAAACTCAGAGGCGACGCGGGAGGAACCCTCCACCTCGACGTACATCCTTCAGGAACCAATCAGAAGCCGTGGAACCCCTGACGTCACTCCGCATGCGCCAGTATCGCGCAGGGGTGAGCGACTATAGGCAAAAGGCGCCAAACTATGAGTGGGACTTTTGGAGTCTCAGCAGCACCACTTTGGCTTGTGACCCGAGCAGTTCTTGTTCACAATAAAGGCAAATCTTGGGGTATATTGTCTACTGACTCTTGATCCATGCTTGGAGAGTCTCTTGGGGCAAATGAAGAAGGCCTTGACAAAAATCTGTCAAGAGTTTCCTGAGACAAAGTGACCAATCCGATGAAACAAATATGGCGTTACTAGGTGCCAGTCAAATTATTGTCACATGATGATTGGCCCGCTAAGAGACAGTGGGTGGGGCATGGCTAGAAAAGGAGGGAAAATTGATGAAAATAAACAGCTCCAGATTTCTGGAAGGTTCCAGATGAAAGGACATTCTTTCTGAAAAGCTTTAGGATAATCTTTGGGAAAGGAATAAAGGGACTTTGAGTGATATCTGAAGAAGGTTCTGACATATTCACCTGGCCTTCAAGCGCAGTTGAGACCCTTTCCTGAGAGAATAGCCCATTGGGAACGACAGAATGTTATATCACTTGATGCTAAGCAGAATTCAATTCCCACCAAACGGGCTAAACACAGAAAGTGCTATGGAGTGGGAGGTTGTCCTGGCTTACCCCCTTGCCACCCTGACCCCTGCACTCAACAAACCACAACTTCAAATTTGTGTGAGATTTTCTGCAGAGTCACCGTAAAGGGGTGCTTCAAAGGCATCTTAGAGGAAGTGATCTTGAGACCCATTTGGACCTGGAGAACAATCCTTTCCTTCCCTGAGAGAAAAGTGAGCTCTTGCCAATAGGGAATCAGAAAAGGCTGTGATGTCACAGGGTGCTAGGCAGAGAGAAAGTGCCCTCCAGCAAACCTGGGTTTGCTCCTAAAAAAGGCAGAAAATAGCCCTAGGGTGGTGACCGTTTGACCTTTAAGCCACCAATAAATTCCTCTATCTGGGGGATCTTGTCTTTGGCTTCCAGCTGGGCTCAGGATGGGGACATCTTTGAGGCAGTGTTTAAGAGATTCCCAAGGCCTCATGTGATCTAACCTGACATCAACAATTTCACCCCCTACAACTCTTTGTTCACGCCACTGCAGCCACACTAGCCACCTTCTTGTTCTTTTAGAAACCAAGCACACACTGGGCTGGGGATATAGCTCAGTGGCACAAGCGCCTGCCTGGCAAGTCCAAGGTGCTAAGTTCGATTCCCAGCACAAAAAAAAAAAAAAAAAAGAAAGAAAGAAACTAAGCACACTTAGCCTCAGGGCCTTTGCACTTACTTTTCTCTCCTCCTGGACACATTCCCTTACAGAACAGCTCCATGCCTCACTGAGGCCTTCAGTTAGTCAGGTTAGGCTAGTTCTGGTGGCTTGACACAAACGAGAGTGTATTTCTGGCTCATGTACGTATGCCATACAAGTTGGCAAGAGGTGGTTTTCCACTGTCACTCAAGGACCCAGGCTGAGAGATCCAACGTGTAGTTTCAATTGCAACAACTCATGGTATCCTTGATCAAAAAAAACACAAAAAAACCAACAAAAACAAAAACAAAAAAACCATAGTATCCTTGATCACTGTGGCAGGGAGAGAAAGGAAGCACTGAATAGTCCTACATAAGCAATAAATGTGCTGACCCAGGAACGACCCTCTTCCTCTCTCAGCTCATTGGTCAGGATATGGTCACGTGATTCCAGAGCTGTGCTGGAAGGAGTGGGGGATTGCCCTCCATGCCCGGATGGGAGAGCTGTAAGATTTGCTTCCTATTGCTGCCATAACAAATGATCATAAACTCGGCAGTTGAGACAATGCAGAGTTATTTATTTATTTATTTATTTATTTATTTATTTATTTATTTATTTATTTCTCTTTTGAGACAAGGTCTCATCATACAATTCAGGCTGGCCTTGAGCTCACTTTGTAGCCCAGGCTGGTCTCAAACTCGCAAGATCCTCCTGCCTCAGCCTCCCCCGTGCTGGGATTACAGGAGTGCACCACCACGCCAGGAAAAAACAGGAATTTATGAATTTGCAGTTCTACAGAGCGGAGTCTCACCTAGGTTTCACTGGGCTAAAATCAAGTGCTAATAAGGTTATTCTCCTTCCAGATTCTCTAGGAGACAAATCTGTTTTCTTCCCATTCCCAACTACTTGCCGTCACCCACACGCTGCCACGCCTCTTCCTGCATCACAAAGGTCTGCAAGGGCAGGTCAAGTCTCCCTCACACTTGAAATTCCCCTGCCTTCTCTCTCTCTTTCTGACCCCAGGTGGGCAAGATTTTCAGCTGGATCTGGTTGTTTTTGCAGTACCAGAGATTAGACACGGGGTCTTTGCACTGAACTACATCCTAACCTTTTATTTTTTTTTAACACTGCCACTTCGTATATTAACTGTCTATTTGTTTGCTATATCTTTGTTCCATGGAACATGAGTACGTGGAAGCAGGGATTTTGTTTTGGACATGGACGTGTCCCCTGTACCTAAAAAAGTACCTGACTCATAGTAGATGCTCAGTAATAATCGTTGAAAGAATAAATCAGTGAGTGGTCTAATTTGTAGCCCAACCCACTCTGAGGTGGTGCCTCATTTGACCTGTGTCATTAGTGTTCATAGTAATTCCCAAGTAACAGTGATTTAAATAAAATAGAAATTATATCTCTTGAATAAAAGAAATCTGGCTTGGTGTGGGAATGCATGCCTGTCATCTCAGGGAGGCTGAGGCAGGAAGATCATAAATTTGAGCCTAGCCTAGGCAAACGAATGACTTAGCAAGACTTTGTCTCTAAAAATAAAAATGAAAAGGACTGGAGATGTGGCTCACTGTGAAGACCCTGGATTCAGCCCTCAGTAACACACACACACACACACACACACACACACACACACACTTACACGCTCACATCTGTAGCTAGTCCAGGGACTTTTCAGTTTTCCTTTCCATAATTCTTGGAACAGTCCTTGTCCTCGTGGTCCAAAATGATAGCCAGTGCTCCAGTCATGGCATCTCCATATGTTCAGCAGAGTAAAGGTAGGCAAAGAGAAAACGTCAGAGGCCTATATAGCTGATTTACAAGGATCCCCCGCCAAAGCTGCCAAACAATCTTTCTTTTCTCATCTCACAGAGATGAGTCACATGTTCGCATCTAGCCACAAGAGAGTGTGGGAATGTAGCCTCTAATGCAGGACAAAGCTGAATAGGGGTTTGGTTATTAAGGAAAAGCTATTTGGAAGAATTAGCTACCCTATTTTATACCAGGGCTTCAACCAGTGAAAACCAAGAGTATATGATGACATCATGAGTTGCTAAGCAGAGCAGCCTTTCTGCCTTTTTTTTTTTTTTTGGAAAGAGGTTGAGCTTGGAAGGAGGTGAAGTCTGGCTAAGGCTTCCATCCCCCCTCCTGCTGCATTGACCTCAGATCTGCATCTGTGTTGTTCACTGCTCTAACCACAACCCCTGGGACACACAGGTACTCGATAAATAGATGTGGAATGATTAGCAGGTCCTGTTTTATCCCCACGACATGAGAAAGAGCCGGCCACCTGGGACTCCTCCTTGAGATGTGGGGTGGAGGTTAAACCCAAGCCTGCTTGGTTTTAGCCAGAATCTTTACCTCTTCCTTGAAAATACTCAGATCCAGTTGGCCGTAGTGGTGCACACCTATAAACCCAGCACTCGGGAGGCTGAGGCAAGAGGATCGCCTCAAGTCCGAGGCCAGCCAAGGCTACATAGTGAGTTCAAAGCCAGTCTGGACTACATGGCAAGACCCTGTCTAAAAAAAAAAAAAAGATCCTGAGGCCCTGAGAGGAGGGAGACTTCTCAATGGTTACACCCCAAGTTGCCTGCATTCAAATGTAGCTTTCCAGACCCACACTGTCCAGTACGGTAACCATGAGCCATGCCAGCTGTGTAAATTTAAATTAATCCTGACCCTCAGGAGGTTGAGGCAAAAGAGCTGACTCAAATTCGAGGCCAACCTGCACTGCATACATAGTGAGTTCAAGCCAACCTGGACTGCATAGCCAGACTCTGTCTCAAAAAAAAAAAAAAGCTAATTAAAATAAACTTACAAATTCAAATCACATTAACCACATTTCAAGTGGCTGGTGTCCAGCACATGGAACAGTGTCGGGGTAAAACACTCCCTGCAACACAGAAAGTCCTACTGAAAAAGGAAAAAGAAGAAAGAACAAAAGTCCCACTGGAGCAGTGCTGGCTGCTCATGAAGAAGAGGGCTCTGAAGCCAGACTGCCTGGGTTCAAATCCCACCTCTGCTACCTGCTGACTGTCAGCATTCTCATCTGTAAAATGCAGAGGGAGGTGATAATAGAAAATAATCTCCAGGGTACAACTGGAGGAGAAAATGAGTTAATCTACATGACAGAGCTGGGCACAGTGGCCCACGCCTATAATCCCAGCACTCTGGGAGGCTGAGGCAGGAGGATGGCAAGTTTGAGCTCAGCCTGAACAACTTAGTGATTTGTGAGACTCTGTCTCAACAAAAAATAAAAAAAGGGCGGCGGGTGTAGCTTATTGTAAAAGCCTTGTGTTCA